TCGTTGCTCTATGCATGAGGAAATTTACTTAAGGTATATCCGATCATAATTTCAATTGTATATTTCTACACAAAAAAGAATATGTTTTCCTTGACTATGGTTTTCTTACTTTGTTTTTGCAGATTCAAATGTATGCATTGTTCTGAAAAATTCCCCATAGTGAGCCTTTTAAAGAGCATTTGAATGCATCTTTAGATTTTTGTTTTTTGTGCAGTCAGTATTTTCCTACGGTAAGCTCTTAGTTTAGTTTTCTTTTCAAAAATTCTTTTACACTTCACGTGGTGATAGTTTTGCAGCCATACTGTATCCAATATCCGGTAATATCATTCGAATGACCTGATCTAACAAAGTGAATATATTCGAATATCCTCACTTAATAGATCTAAGGCGCTTTTTGAAAAATTTGGCAGCTTCATCTTTGTTATAAATGTTAAGAAACTCGAAGATTTTAGAAAAGTTTATATGCTTATTAGTTTATAAAAGTTTAAAGTTTATATGTTGGAGCATAATAATTGGAATTTATTTTAATCAACTTTTAATTTTGTTTTTTTTAAATTTTACTTCAATTTCTTTGAATCTATTATTTAAGTCAGAACTTCGAAATCATGTGGAAGCGCATAAGATTTACGTGATGTGGCCTAGAGTGATAATCGACCTCGTTGATAAAAAAGCGCCGATTGTCCGATCCAAGCGGGAATTGAATGTTATAGAAATTACTAATTCAGTGTTACGAAACATTCCGCAGTCCCAGTTATCCACAATTAATCAAGTTTTTTTTGAAATTTATTAAATTACGAAAAAGGCTACAAAACTTTTTGATTTTAAGGTAGCACATTATAAATATTATTTAAGCCAGAACTTCGAAAGGTTACTATCAATATTTTATGCAATGATTTTGCTTCTTTTAATGAAAAAAATAGGGATAAAAAATTTTGATTATCTGTAATATTGTAATTTGATGTTTGAGCCTTGTTTCTATGAACAAATACATATCGTCCAGGTCCTTATCGTAATCTTTGAAATTATCATAACGTATTATATACGATACATATCGTAGTCAAACTTGGTAATTAAACCTATGTACTTTAATAGTAATGTGAATATAAAAACAAAAACGAAATGATATACTGTTACCAGTGAACTGGAAAAAACATTATAAGTGTGCATAATATATTAAAACATTATAAGTGTGCATAATATAATAAATATACAATAAATATATAATTCATTGCCATAACCCACCTTTATGGTTATGCTAATGCGCAATTATTGAGAGTTCCTCGTATTTATCTGGCGCTGGGGATTTTGGCTGGCAAGTTGATTTATGGTTTTTGCTAGCACTTTTCACTTTTCTAATCATTCACTTCTTTTCCATATTTCCATATTTAATAATTTTATTTTTTAAGATATCATCGCAAGAGAAGACAGACAGTGATACCGAGGAAGACGAAGAATTCTTATTGAATGAAGGAGTGGTGAATAATAAAAGTGAAGACTATTCTTTATTTAATTCTTGATTGTTAATTCAACTTTTTATTGATGAAATCGAGTTTTTTTCGCTTCTTAGTGTGAGATAAAAATGCTAAAATTTATTTTAAGAATCAATTCAATTAATAGGAATTTGGAGAAAAATTTGTGGATTTTTTTTATTAAATTCACCAAAAAGGCTTAAACTAAATATAAATAAATAATTTAACTTACGTTTTTAACTTATGCCCTTTGTTAACGATACGAAAATGTGGATGTGCACTTTTCACCTCTTGGTCATAATTCTCTATTAACCATAACTGTAAATGTTTTTATCTGCGTTTGATAATGCATAATACATATTGTAGCTTGGGAATAATACATTTAATGTCCGTTCTTTGATGGCAGGTTTATTCCTATCCAGAATAATTTAGTGATTGCGATAATTACGAAACTAATTAATTAATTAGGTTTATAAATTTATAACGAAATATTGGGAAAAATAGTTATAATTAATACAAAATTATGATTATAAGAAGAAACAAAAAATTTTTTTCTAATTTTATTCGATTCCACTTTTTCATAAAATTAATTCTAAGAATCATTTACTATTTTATAAGTTCATTTTATAAGAACTTAATCTACTACAAGATTTGAAGAGAATGCTAGAATAAATCAATCAATACTAACATTATATAGGTACAAAAATGCGACATCTTACCAGTTATTTATAAATTTTTTCTTTAAAATTTTGAACGGATACGAATTTTCTTAGAAGGAGAATTAAACATAAAATTTCAACGTTTTTAGATTGTGAAATGAAAATTTTACAAGTTAATAAAGTTGAACAGAATCCTACTGCTAATATGAGTGGGGAGCACATCTGCAATCCGAAAAGGCAGATGATTATAGGTCACAGCGGAAATGAAATTGTTATGAAAAGTAGTCGAGGTCAGCTGTTTTTTTCAACTGACTTGTTGAAAAGTGGTAATGCAACGTTTGGACATCATTTTAACCACATTGATGCGAATGATTTGAAAATTATCCATTCTAGTGAGGTTTGTTAGTTTGTCAACAATTGTTATGGTTCTTTTACAGTAAAGTATGTATTTTTGTATTGTATATATATTTCTTTCTAGATTTTGAATGGGATAATTAGATCTGTGATTTAAAAAATTATAGCCTGGATCATCAAGCGATCTCGCTATTGGAAGTAATTCTAATTCGAGGAATGTTGACGATGCTGGTTTGCTTAATACCTTTAAAAGGTGATACCTATTGCTTTTAACCTATGGTTATTGTGTATTATACGAATTTCGCAATAAAATTTATTAACAGTTTATTAACAATCTTTTCATATTGCGGTTATAATAGTACATCCTTAATCATTCTTTCTTTTTAAATTCATTTCAGTGTGTAATGAATTTTGAACATTTTCTTCCTAAATATTTTTTTGGTTGTTTAAATTATTTAGTTCACTTATAGCTGGATAAAAGCTTGATTTTAATTATTTTTTTTATTTTTAGTGTCGAATCAGTGAAAAAGCGAAGAGTGGTGTTACGATGCGAATATTGTTCAGTGACATTTATCAATGAAATAGATCTTCAATTACACCTCAAAACTCATCAGTATGATGCTGGTAATACATTGGAAAAGGTTGGTTGATTGTAGAACTTAATTCGGTTAAATCAGTTTCACAGATTTCTCTCTGGGTGCATGAAATCATAGAAAATTGATAATATAATTTCACAGCCTTACTCTTGCAGTCACCAAAGCAAACCGAGCCGGCAATTTGCGGGTTGTTGGTAAAAAATTATCGTTTTTTTTCGTTTATATGTTTACTTTACGCATAAATTAATTTTCATTTTCACAAAAAAAAATAGTACAAGGTATCTAATGGATAAAAATAAATATTTAATGATCATTTTTGTTATAATCTTACAGAATCACAAAGAATTACTAAAAAATATAATAGGTAATAAAATATAACGTTTTAATTGTAGTGCTCTTTTATTTGGTTTGTTTTGTTTTTAGTAAAGTAAAGCTAACTCCAGTAATTTCATTCAGCAATTCCATTATCAAAAATTCCAGATCTAAGTTATTGTATTACAATAGAAAATCATTTTTTAAGGGCCATTGTTTAAAAAACAAAACATTAAGATTTATTAAGCTTTTCTAAAGCATAAAGAAAAAAAATAAAAAGAAGGTACAAAATACAAATTGAAATTATGAAGAGTCAAAATCAAATAATCGCCCAAAGAATGAAGCCGTAATAAAATTTGGGTTGCGATCCTATTTTTATATTTGGTTCAGTTTTTGTCGCATGTAGCAAGTTTCTGCACTGAAACTTTCCTGCTTGAATTATGGTCCTCTATTTCATAAACAGATTTGTTATTGCTAACTAAATCAATATCCTCTAAATATACTATTGATTCATTTTTTAAAAATTCCTCTTTTAATCTTCATTATTGATAGTTTTTTTTTTGCGATTTCCTCAATTTGGCAATAAACAAGGAAATATCGTAAAAAGCACATCATTTTCTCATCATTTTCTTCTTTGATTATAGGTGAAAATATATTTCTGAGAAAATATATATTTTGCCCTATAAAAATTGATCGTCTGAAAATACAACACATTTCTGCATGAATTTTCAAATGATCATTTAGTCTAGGTGGCTTCAACTATTCATTGGTGAATATTTTTTGGTAAATTAGGCACATCAGTATTTGTGGGCGATTGAATAAAACCATACTTAAAGTTTAACATTATTTATATCTCTTTTTTGCCTCAGATATAATCTACATGGTCTATAAATAAAAATTTCCGGTTGAATTTTTACTAGTAACAAATGGAGAGTGACTGGAGAAAAATATGCAGAAAAGCGATGTGCGGATGACATGACACGTAGTTAACAATTAACGGAAAAATTCCAAAATAACTTTTCGAAACGATAACCAGAGACCCTAAATTAAGTTCTTTACTACCACTTCTCTTTCCTTATCTTTCTCACCATCCACCTTTGACCTTAAGAAAGCCAAATTTTTGAATCAACCTTATAATTCGCACTAGAAGTACCATTTCTAACGAGAGCGCTTACTGAGATATCCTGTTCCCCACTTTATATTGGCGGTTCGCAATGTTCACCTTAGTCTCCCTCTGGTCCGTTAATGTCAGTTTAAAAAATTCTGACTTGAGCAACAGACAGCTTGTTTTATATCGCCAACACATTTATGATTAGTGTATATATTCATATAGTAGGATTATAAACAGCTCAATAAGTTGATTTATGATTGATTAAAATATTAATTAATTAATTAAGATTAATTAAATGATTAATATTTATTATACAAAATATTTATCCCATCATTAGATAAGCTTACTAAAAGGAGCATCCATTTCATTTACTTCTGTGATAGAAAAATTTTAAAGTTTTAATGATACAATCATTTGGAAATAGGTTGAGGATTCTAAAAACATTTATGATTAAGCCCTATATTCGTAAAGCAAGAATTTAAAAAAATAAAAAGCTTTAATGAATTATTTGGGACCGAATTTACTGAGACATAAAATTTTGAACGTCCTAAAAAATGTTGGAAATATGTTGGTACTCATAACTGCCAGATTCCACAACTGGATCATAATCTTGTCAAATTTATTCGGTAGTAGAATATTTTCCAGGTTTATGGGATTCCTGTAAATGCGACAATTTATATTTGTCGTTTTTGCTGTTTGGCTTATGAAAATAACTCGATATATCAAAAGCATATGCAGGCACATGGCTCAGTTTTAAACTGTTCGCATTGTTCGACAGTTGCATTTAATGCTGCATCGGTGAAGATTCATGAATCGTTGCATTTGGGTTCCAATTCTGCAAATCGATTAATTTATATTTGTTCTATTTGTATGACAGCGTTCTCTAATGTAATTCTTTATTTGATATTTTAAAAATATTTTAAAAACTGCACTGGATTCGGTCTAATAACTAAAAGTCAATCATTTGCTACAGTTTGATTAAAAATAAAATTTAATTTATGAATTATTTAACTCAAACAAATTACATAAATTTCTTCTTTCGTATTGTTCAGGAAGAACGTCTTTACCACCACATGCAAAAAATGCATGGGCAGTATTTACTATATTTTTGTAAAGTATGTGGTCTTGCTAACAGCGATGGACAAATTGTTTATTCTCATATCGCAAAGAAGCAATGTAAAGATGAGGTTTTTAATTTTCATGAGTTTGAAATCGTAAAAAAAATCGTGGAAAGTAAAAACTTTTTTTAAATGGTTTTAATCATTTTTATGGCACGCATTTGTTTCTATTTAAGGTGCTCGATTCTGTATGTCAAATGGGTTTTGTTGCCGCATGTATATTTCATTTTCAACCAGCTGATCCACAAAAATATGAATTCTTACAGAATAATGGTGCATTAGCAGTGATTGTACCTTCAGAATGTCTTCATCGATCATTTCTATCTCAAAGCAGTACTGATCTCTTTTTTATCACTTGTACCACTTGCAAATCTTTAGTAAGTTTTTTTGTTGAAA